AAGGAAGGAAGGAAGGAAGGAAGAAAGAAAGAAAGAAAAGGAAAAGTGGACCCTCTGCCAACAACATCCCGGTCTGGAAGTTGGAAGTCGTCCCCGCGGTCAGCCCCGCGCACGCACACCCTCTAATCCCACACCCACCTCCCCAGGGCACGTCCTAGGAACAGACGGCACGCACAGCCGTCTTTGTATCCCCGACCCCTTAGCTTAACCCTGTGCGAGACGCACACAAACGCTCGGCACCTTTAAGTGTGATGATGCAGAGGTAGGTTTTGGAGATGCCCCCACCCTGCTCCCCAGCAACAGTCCACAGACACCCACGGGGGGCCCAGGCCAGCTCCGAAAGCAGCGACCACATTTCAGCAATCGCTTTTACTATGTAACGAGTTACGAGAAGCATCTTAGCCAGCAAAAAGCTTCCAAAGGCAGAAAAAGGAAAGCGGAAAAGGGGATCTTGCACAGAAGTCACGTATACATGAGGAGCATACTCCTGAAACGGTGAGCGGGGTGTATGCGGAGACCCTGAACGCCTAAGTCCCATTTCCCAGGCCGATATCACAGAAGGACAAAGGGGCCAGGGGGGTCCCTTCGGGTCCAGGTGGTCGGGGATATGGTTATGTTCACAGCCCGGGAAAGAAGAAAAGGCGGAGGGTGGCCCAGGTGAGCCACACAGGTGAGTCATGACAAGCCCACAACTCAGCTCAGAAAGATGCCGCACAAGTCACGCACTCACCGGGACACAGGCCGTGCGACAGGGGGAGGGCGGAAGGGTGGACACGCAGGAATGCTTCCAGGGGGCCCTCCTGCCTGATCTCAAAGACACGGGGAGCAGGGGGAAGAGAAAGCAAACAGCATTTTCAAAGCACAGAAACTGGGTCACATGGAAACAGAAATTTCCACTCCGCCCTTGAACATCAAAGATAACACTAAACAGGACCCGAGATTTCTCGACCTTAATAAACGAGAAACGCTCTCACAGAACCGCCCGGGCTCTGGCTCGACAGCGCATTCCAAAGAAGCTTGTTGTGTGCAAAGCTCCGAAGGAAACAAGGGCAGGGCCAGCGCTGACGAGCCCGGGTCTGTGACCACAGAGCCGGGGGTCCGAATCCCACTTTACCACACGCAGGCAATGTGGCCTGGAGGCGTCCCTTCACCTTGCCAAGCCTCAGTTTCCCCAGCTGTAAAATGGGAGTGGCAGCAGTATCTGCCTCACAGGGAGTTCTGAGGAGTAAGTGAGACCATGAGTGCTCAGCTCCTGGTTCAGAGCACAAGCTCTGTGAAGGTGAGGAATGGAGGTGGGAAAGCAGGCTCCAAGAGAGGGACAAAGGAAAGAGTGGAGAAGGGGAAGGCGTGGCTCTCCCGCACCCCAGGAAGAACCAGGGAAGGCTTCCTGGAGGAGGCAGCAATTGAGTGCAACTTTGAAAGATGGCAAGAATCTGGAGAAGGGACTTTGGGACTCTCTGCAAAGCATACAGGTGACAGACAGATTGGAGCCTGGATTCTGGAAGCCCACCGCGCAGCCACATCGATGCTGAACCACAGGAGGGTTTGACAGACACCTCTTGGGGACTCTGTTTCTCAGAGCCCGGGTTCCCCAGGGGACACAGCCCCGTTGCTGAGGACCTTTCTGTCTATATCTGATTACCGTCTTCCAAGGGTCAGTCTGACATTTGGAAGGAGGGGCTCCTCTTGAACCAGGGCTTCTCCCTAAGGACCCCGCTCTGCCAGTTTAGTGGCTTTCCGTTAATCCCTGGAATGTTCTCTTTTTTAAAGTACTGGTCCATTTGCCAGAAAGCCGAACACTTCAAAGATGCAAAATGCCGGCTGCCTTGAATCACGGAGAAAGATCTGCTGGCCTGGGAGAGCTGGCGTCTGGTGCGCACAACGGGTGTGGACGTTCAAACAGACGGGGGCTCGATGCCATGAGGCTGAGGACACACTGATTTCCTGAGTGCGCGCCATTGTTTTGAGATGAATGCCCCTGTCCACATAAAACCTGACAGCCCGCCACGAGGAAATCCATGGCAAAGTTTCCCGCTGCAGCCAAGTCCACCTCCCAGGGGTGTGGCTGCATGGCCATGGGCCGCACAGGGGACACGGGGCTGAGGGAAAAGCCAGGGGGTTGAGAGGAAGGATGGAGGCCAGGTCAGAAGACAGAGCCAAGGGGGGGGGGTGCGGGGCGTTTGATAGCACAAGTGCCCCTTTGGGGACGGCTACCCCTCACTCAGCGGGGGCAGAGGGCAGACCAGGACATGCAGACAGCAATCACGTCTTACAAGCTTTCAGAAAAGCTCAAATTTCAGGTTTAGTGTGGAATCTCCCAATTTATAAATGCAAGCACATCGTTCCAATTCTGTGAGCCAACCCGGGGCCATCAGTTTGCAACCTCAGGTCGCAGTGAATGTACAATCCACGTTCCCACCCATCCCTGGGAAGTGGACAGAGGGCTGCTCATGTTTCCTGAGTACCTACTATGCACCAGGCAACTTCCGTGACATCCGTTCATCGCATCTCCTAACAAGTGAGGGAGCGGCTGGGTCCTAGCAGGGCCGGCACCTGTTACATGTGAAGGCACCTGATATACACCCCCCAGTGAGCCCCAGAGTCAGGACTGAACCCGGTTCTACATGGTCCTGCACCTCACTATGCCTGGCTAAGTCCTACGCACCTTCAAGCCTCAGCTTATTGGCAACCTCCTCCAGGAAGCCCTCCTGGGTGCTACCTTCCCAAGCTGGGCTCCTCTCTGCCTAGCTCACATCACAAAGCCGTCCAACTTTCTCTTTCCTGGACCATCTGCCCACCCACACCAGCACTGGCTCAGCTCCTGCGCACCACAGGTCTTCACACATGAGGAGCAGTACAACAGAAGGCTTCGAACCCTGGAGCCGGTCTGCTGGTTTCAGATCCCGGTTTGACCACTGATGAGCTGATGATCCTGGGCAAGCTACTTATTTGCTCTGTACCTCGGCTGCCATCTGTGAAATGGGGGAACCCCTCAGTGAGAGATTGCAAGACTCCATGAGGTGCTGGCATGCAGTAAGCGCTCAATAAATGCTAGCTTTTAGCATCTGCTGGATCGATGAATACAGGCATGCTTCCAAAGCCCGATCCTTTTCCATCACCCCACCCAAGGACTGGGCAAGGCTTAAAAAACAAAACAAAACAAAAAAAACTCTCCTGCCTGGAATTACAAGCACATAAAAAGGCGGAAAGAACTGGAAACTATAACCTCAACACTTGAAAGCATCTAATAAAGAGCCTGCCATTTGCACCCCAGGCCAAATGCAAAGGTTCCATCTTTGATTTTTTTTTTTAATCTTTTCCTTTGTATGGGTTTCATTTATTTATTTATACCCAGGCTCCTTCCAAAAAAAACAGGCTTTTAGACACCTTGTTTTTTTTTTCCCCTTTGACATTCTTGAGAACGCATGCCCTGAAACCGCCCGACTCACAGAGCAAGGTCATCGGTCAGGGACACACGTGAATCTAAACTTACACAAAGGCTTCTCCGCCTCTCGTTCCACGAGGGGCGCCGGGGCAGGAAGGGGGATCACAAGGCACCCCCTGCAAAGATGGGGTGCAGGGAGTCCACGGGGGGCTCACCCATGTGGCTCCGTGGCGGATACAAAGCCCTGCCGAGGGGTGGGCCGCGGCCTCGGATGCTAAAGCAGTGACAATTCCATTTTCTGACATTTCAACACAGCCGTGATGTTTTGCCACCTGTGGAGACTTTTTTACGCATAGCTACGCTTCTTGGTTTTCGTGCAGAACAAAAGATTAGGAGGAGAATTTTCCGCAGCGGGAGAATTTTCCGCAGCGCCGTGGGAACCGGACCCAAGAGAAAGCCCCCACAAAACAGCGCGTCACCTGATCCACGTCTACAAGAGGGGCCAGAAAATGGCAGGAAAGCTGCCTCGGCTCTGGACGCTTACCCTTCCTGGTCTAGACACACCCACTCCCAGGCCGGGCCGGTCCTCAAGGGAACGGAGTGGTCCTCGGAGTTGCCAGGAAAACGAAGGGAGGGTAGAGGCGCATGTGCCCCCACGGGCCGGGCTAGGGCAGTTGGGGGGACAGAAACTTCCCGGTGCTTAGGAGGACCCAACCGTGAGGCTTTCCCGGCCTCTGCCCAACAGTAAGGGCTTCCGTCTGCGCTCAGAGGGGTCGTTTCTCTGCAGAAGTCATAGTTGATCAGAATAATGAAATTCCCCAGCCATGGAGCTCTTCACTCAGTGGTTCTGCTGAAAGGGAGTCCCGTTGTACGGCCCGTGAAGATCTCACAGCTCCGTTAAAACAGGGCCCAGGGAAGATGTCCCGCAGAGCAGACCGGACAGCTGGGGAAGGGGGGACCACTCTTTCTGATCTCCGCAGAGACAGTGTTCACCCCAAGCTACGATCACCACATGGGATGGGGAGTTCTTTCCGGAGCTACCACGCTTGCCAAGGCCTTGGAGTGTGAGGCCAGTTCTTTCCCAGGAGGTTATGATGTCCAGGTTCAATCTCCACAATTCTCAGGATTCTAGCGGATAGGTGGTGGCATCCGGCCCGGAGTCAAAGGCTATGGGACCTGATGTCCCCAAGGAGTCCAGCTGCCCTTCCTGACCTGGATGTGGGACAAGAGGAAAATTACTCTCAGCGATCCGCGAGGGAAAACATACAAGAGAGAGCCTCTTGACCTTTTAAAGTGGCAGATCTGGTTTGTTTTCACTGCGGAATGGAATCCAAGGATGCTGGCCCATCATAAGGAGCTCGGTGTATTTATGTGTGTTTAACTCTCAGTAATTTCTCAGCTGAGGATGAGTGTCTGAACCGTGCTGACAACACCACAGGAATAAAAAAGTCCCAAGACTGTGGCCCACACTGTAAGGATGGCTCAGCCTGACATCTGATTTATGGGGTTTGCTCTGCTGGGGCACGAAGTTCCATCTCATTTCTCGAGGCGAAATAAGTTTCGAGGCTAAAATAAATGTGTGAGCATTTCAATAAAGCAAAATCCAAAGGAGGTCAGCGGGCGTTACTGACCCCGACACTGAGAGCGCGCAGTTGAAGATCTGTCTTGTTGAGGCAGCGGCAAGCCTCGGGTTCAGCAGGCTGCTGATCTAATGAACGCCGGTCAAAGGCCACCTCCGCGTTGGCACTTGGCCAGGCACTAAGGGGACAGGAGAACAAGACAGAAGGGGCCTGCTCTCAGGCCGCCGAGGGTCCGGGTGCCGGCAGCAGATGGAGGGGAAGGACGTGCCTGGCCCCTTCCACCCCACAGCCTGGCCTAGCGCCCAGCACAGAGAAGGCTCTAAAGGAGTGAATGCATGATGCCCTCAGGGCAATACACATCGTGCTGCTTTCAAAACAAAACAGCAGGATATTTATGCAAACGGCACAATCGGAAACCCCGAACTACATGTTTCTAGGTGTACGCGTCTACATTCGTAGAGAAAAGAAGGAAAGGCTCCACTCCCAAATGACAAGAGCTGTGTCACTTCGAAGGGATGAGGGCGGAGGGAAGGAGGAGACAGAAAGGCTGGGCCACAACCGTGTTCCTACATTACTGTGAGATGAAATCAAAAGAAGGGACAAGAAACAGACACTCTGGGAGGAGTCGGTGCCCCCGTGGGGCCCGAAGCCCGTGATAGCCAATCCTACAGGGAAGGAGGCCTGCCGGAGCCGAGCCTGTCCAGGCCGCAGACCCGGGGCTTCCCTGCAGGACGGCCTGCATCAGGAGAGCGGTGTGTCTGCTGCAGAGCCCCGAGGAAGTCACAGAGGGCCATGCGCCCATGCCTTCGTGTGCAGGCAAGGGAGAAGCGAGTTTTGGGGGTGAAGGAATGGATCTCCCCCCCAGGCAATTCTGTCATCCCCTCCAGGCTCCGGGAAATGCCTTCTGCTGGATGCGAGAGGCATCTACACAGCTCAGAACCTTGGAATACCCTGTCCCCAGCACCGTTTGAAGCCCATCTGCGGCTCCTCTGTGCTTTTACCAAACAGATCATTCCATGGCCTCTGGCTTAGGGGACCCCAGGGAAGTGTGTGGTTGCCTGGGTCAGCGTGGGAAAGGCGTGGAGGGGAGCTGGGGGGCCGCATCCTCAGGGAACCCTGCGGGATGAGACAGGACCGGCCCTGAGTCGACACCATGGATATCCCAGTCACCGCCCAGATGCCAGTCATGTCCCTGCTCCCAACGTCAGCCAGAGCCTGCCCAGGGGCCTCTGCTAACCACGCACCCTCCTGAGCCCTCAGCCAGGCTCCCAAACTTCAATGCACTTAGGATCTTCTGGGCTAACAGGAAGATTCTGATCCAGCGGGTCTAGGCAGGGTCCAAGACAAGGTGTTCTTGAACCAGCCCCAAGGCGATGCTGCTGATGCCGGTCGGTGAGCGCTGGCCATCAACACCTAGAACGGTAAGAACTTGGTAGACATCCTACCCCGTCTGCTCCTGAAATCCAACCCGGCGAGCGACTTTCACGTTCCTTTCAGAAATGAAGACAGGGGTCAAGTTTCCACAACTTTCTACCTGGCCGGCACCTGCCACAGAGGCTTCCCTCCCCAGGAAGGAAGGAGATTTACTGGGCACCCCCCACACGTGCCGTCATGCGAGGCTCCCCCTACAGACGAGGTCTCTAAAACACTGAGCCACGTCCAAGCTGGCCCAGCCAGTTAGGGATGGATCCGACCCACCCAAGGCCTGCAGTTCCCCAAACCACACCATCTTCCCGCTTCCGGTGGGATCAGAGCGGGAAATACAGACCATTTGCTGCCTGTGGGGAGAGCACAGAACTTCAGTCCTTCTCCGAATCCCTGTTCTCGATCTTGAGCCAAAGGCAAAGTTGCATGTTTCGGCAGCAATAATGAAGGAGTTCACTTGCCACCCTGGTTTCTCCCAAGACCCTCTTTTCCAAAGGGCTGGTTTCTACACCCTAGGAAAATGGGTTCAATGGTAGAAATGGCTCTGGGACGTGGGGAGCAGGGGGTGCTTGGGATTCTCCTGGCAGCACTGCCAGCCTCGGGGGACACGGCAAGCAATCCAGAGGGAGAGAGAAATTCAGAGAGGGAACCTCACGGCACAGCCCTGACCTCACACAAAGCCACTGCAAATGATAACCTGATTCTGGAGCCAGAAGGTTAAAGGCAGAAGGCCCCCAAACACAGACACATGCAAAGACCACAGAGGGAGGAAGTAAGAGGCTGGACAGGACCCTCCTCAGATTCTGCATCTTGTGTCCTATCCCTGGGGCAGCCGTGGGCAGAGGGGAGGAAGGTGTCACCAGGACGGCCACTCAGCCTCCCATGGGCCCCGCCGTGGCCTCTCCTCTTCTGTAGGTGACTGTCCTGGACCCGGCTGTTTCTCCTCCCCAGCATCCTGTCACCTTCTTCTGGTCAAACCAGAACCCAGCCTTCCCTTGGAGGGAACCAGCACATACCCCTCATTCACAGGCGTTACAATCCAGGTGGGGACCTGCCCCCAGCCCCAGTGTGGAGCCAGTGGGCGTGCTACACTCCCTGGAACACAGGTATCAAGTCAGGAATGACTTGGTTTGGCCTGCTCAGAGCCAAGAGCTACAAGACTGTACTGGGAATGCCGAATGAGACGGGCACTTTTCCCCAGTGGCCTTGACCCAGCAAGGATGCAAGTGGAAGCTGCACCATCATCCTACCACCAAACAGAACCTAGAAATGAAGGCACTGGATGGACAGACCTGAGAGAACAGTTTAGTCACACCATTTGTGTGCTAGATCAAGCCTTACCTGAGGCCAGCCCCCGGTGGCCCTGTCAAAAGGCACCAGTGAATTCCATTTTGTTCTTAATCCACTTTGAGTTTTCTGTCATTTGCAAACAGAGTCCTCCCGGAGGCAGCAGTCCTTCCGACACGCAAAGCTGACCATGTCCCTGGTGTAACCCATAACGGCTCCCACCGGCTCCAGGTTAAAATGCAAGCTCCCCCAAACACTTGATGAGCAGACCCTACTTCTCATCAAGCTGCAGCTCCCGACTTCCACACACACCTTCTAACAAGGCCATCCCAAAACCAGTCACATCTGTCACATCTCTGCCCCAACTGTCCCCACCACCAGAGACGCCCTCCACTTTCTATCTGGCTAACTCCACTCCACCCCCCAGATCCGTCCGGATGGCACTCTGCACTCAGGCCCCAGACGGAGGGAGGGTTCCCCCTCTGGCTCCCTACAGCTCCCCTTGCCCGTGACAACTACAGTCCTTTACCCCCTGTCGGTGCAGCTGCAGGGTGGGCGTGCTCTCTGCCCCCACCCAGGAGTGCACGGGGGCCGGGTGCTGCTCAGGACCTTGGCCTCACAGCCTGCACAAAACCTAACATGTGATAAGCATGCAATAAATATTTGTGGGACGAATGAGTATGTGTTTACATAGACAAAAAGGAGCTGAATGGGAGAATTCAGGTAAGAGACGCAAAGTCAGGAGAACAGGGAACAGACTGTTCTTGCAAAACACGCCACCTCCAGCCATTTAATTGGGTGGAAAAGGAGAGTTTCCATTAAGGCTTACATTAGCCCGGCAGTCGTGGGTCACCAAGGACCCAATTACTACGATGTGGCCGCGTGGAGGGTGAGGGCTCAGAGGAAGGATTCTGCTCTGCAATTAGGGGCTTATTGGGAACGGTTCCTCTAGAGCCACACTCTCAAACCTCATCGGCTGGGGCACGCGTCACGACCGGCCACCTGCTGCAGGCATCCGGAAGAGAGGCCAGCGAGAACAAAGCCATCCACCCATCTCCAGGAAAGTAGGTCTTCTGAATACCAAAAGTTGCTCAAGTATAAATACAAAAAGGGCTAGAGCTCAGAAGCTGCTGTCAAACAGACAATTCCCCGGCCCAGATCAGGCTTTTTCTTCCCCTTTGCCCCGGGTGATCAGCAAAATGCGAGGACCACAGAGAAACGCATTGTCTGTGGGAAGGAGAATAGGAAGAAAGAGTTTCGGGTGGACGTGAAATGTCAGGTTCACCATATAAACCACCTGGTGAGCAGAAACCAGGACACGGGAGGGGCCCGGGCTGCTCGCCCATAAAGGATGACTGATCCTGTAGGGAGAAGGGGATGACGTGGCCGGCGGCTCCAGCGGAGAGCAAGTGGGTCAGCTTATTCAAGTCACCTCCCAGACGCAGCAGGTAGAATCCTCGGGGACCGGATACAGCGGCTGGGGCCGTGCGTGGCCGGCGTCTGCTCTAGTCTCTGCAGGTCTCAGCCCCGGGTCCCTCCCGTCCGGTCCACCTCCCACACTGTCTCAAGACTTTGTCCCCAGAACACAGCCCACCAGTCATTCCTCTGCCCGCAGATCGTCCCCACCTTCCGCTGCCTCACCACACAAAGCCCAAATCCCTCCCCATGGCATCCCACCCCAACCCTCCAAAGGGTCCCTCATCCAAAACCCCCCAAGCCCAGAGCGGGTGCCGTACAGGCAGAATAGAGAACCCACCGACTCTTGGGTACATGCTTTGTCTCCTTCTGTCTTTTACTATCTCTCCACTGCAGGGGGATAATAACCAGACACGATCCTAAGGTTGTCGTGACAACTAATTTAACAAGAAGCAGCCGAGCGGTAATTGTTGGGTCTCCCCTTCCTGTCCGACCATCAGCACC